CTCGTTTCGTGGCCTCTTCTGAATCTGGCTTGACAATCTGGAAGTTCTCTGTCAATGTATGCTTGCAGCCATTTCTGTTTTACCTTTAGTAAAACTTTGCTCACATGGGATATCAAAGATATTCTTGGATGATTTCTGCATTCCCTTGGGTTACCTCTCTTTGTAATGGGATAAAAATACGGATCTCTTCCAGTCAGTTGGCCAGATAATTGTCTTATAAATTTCTTGGCATGGATGAGTGAGTGCCTCCTGTGCTGCCTCACTTTCTTGAAATATTTCAATTTTTATTCCATGAATTCCTGGAGCCTTGTTCTTTGCCAATTCCTTCAATGTACCTTGGACTTCTTCCTTCAGTGTCATTGGCTCTTGATCATATGCTACTTACTGAAACGGTTGAACATCAGCCATTTCCTTTTGGAACAGTGACTCAGCATCATTCAATAATTTGCCCAGAAAATCCTTCAATAACAAAAGTTGAGGCTTGATTTTTTTTCTTCCATTCCCCCAGCTTGAGAAATGCTGAGTGTGATCTTCCTTTTTAGTGTCAGATTCCAGATTTTTGCACATTTTGTTGTAATATTTGACTGTATCTTCTCTAGCTGGCCTCTGATCTTCATCACTAGGAAAGCAGACCAGGCACCCCGAGTGGAACCAGGAGATCATTTTCTTTTGCTGCAAAAGAAGGAACATAGGGTGGTCCAGAAAGATGGCAATGATTTGCTTATGACATATAAGATGTTGTTGTTGTTGTCAGGTGCTATTGAGTCAGAACCGACTCATAGCGACCCCATGCACAGCAGAACAAAACAATGTTTGATCCTGGGCCAGCCTCACTACCGCTGCCACACTTGAGTCCATCAATGCTGCCACGTGGCCAGTCCATCTCGTTGGGGGTCTTCCTCTTTTTCATCGACCCTCCATCTTACCCAGCATGACGTCCTTCTCCAGCAACTGTTCCCTACTGACAATATGGCCAAAGTATGAGAGACGAAGTTTAGCCATCTTGGCCTCTAAGGAGAACTCTGGCTGCATGTCTTCCAAAACAGATCTATTTGTTCTTTTGTCAGGCATGGCACTTTTAGTATTCTCCTCCAACACCACAATTCAAAGAAATCAATTC